AGTACAGAGATTCTCCACATCCTCATGGGCTCCTGGCTCCATATTCTGTCATTCCTATCTGCGAAAGAAAGCACATTTCTGGTTGGACAATGGAGCATCACCCAATATCAGGGACATGCATTCTTACTAAACACGTTACTGGAAATTCCAAAGTACAGAACCCTCAAAACAGAGCTATGAATGCAAAAATGGAGCTTAAAGATCAAATGTATTTAGGAAGCAAAGTATCACCATCCCTGTTCTTGGAAACTCGTGCCTTTTAAAGGCTGTAGTATTTTCTAGAGTCAGCACTGAAAGACACAGCTGTAAAAAGCCTTGCACGTAGGTTTTTTTTTTTTTTTCTCTCTCCATTTCAACAGCTGTATCCCTCAAAGGATGGTGAAACACAGTCCTAGAGATGTTAGTCTAAACCAATAAGACCTTAGTCTGGTAAATTATCCAAGAGTATCTCTTTAACCTACAGCAGTTTCTTGAGGAATGTATGTGTGAGAATTGCGTGTATGTGCGCATGTGTGTGTGTGTGTACGGTGTGTGTGCATGTGTCCATGGGTACACGTGTGTATGGTATATGTGTGTGTGCACATGTCCGTGGGTGCACATGTGTATGGTATATGTGTGTGAACGTGTCCGTGGGTGCACGTGTATATGGTATATGTGTGTGTGCACATGTCCGTGGGTGCACGTGTGTATGGTATGTTTGTGTGCACATGTCTGTGGGTGCACATGTGCATGGTATATGTCTGTGTGCACATGTCCACGGGTACATGTGTGTATGGTATATGTGTGTGTGTGCAATGTCTGTGGGTGCACATGTGTATGGTATATGTGTGTGAACGTGTCTGTGGGTGCACTGTGTATGGTATATGTGTGTGTGCACATGTCCGTGGGTGTACGTGTGTATGGTATGTCTGTGTGCACATGTCCACAGGTGCATGTGTGTATGGTATATGTGTGTGTGCACATGTCCATGGGTGCACGTGTGTATGGTATATGTGTGTGTGCAATGTCTGTGGGTGCACATGTGTATGGTATATGTGTGTGAACGTGTCTGTGGGTGCACTGTGTATGGTATATGTGTGTGTGCACATGTCCATGGGTGCACGTGTGTATGGTATGTCTGTGTGCACATGTCCACAGGTACATGTGTGTACGGTATATGTGAGTGTGCACATGTCTGTGGGTGCATGTGTGTATGGTATATGTGTGTGTGCACATGTCCATGGGTGCACATGTGTATGGTATATGTGTGTGTGCAATGTCTGTGGGTGCACATGTGTATGGTATATGTCTGTGCACATGTCCATGGGTGTACGTGTGTATGGTATGTCTGTGTGTACATGTCCACAGGTACATGTGTGTATGGTATATGTGTGTGTGCAATGTCTGTGGGTGCACATGTGTATGGTATATGTCTGTGTGCACATGTCCATGGGTGTACGTGTGTATGGTATGTCTGTGTGTACATGTCCACAGGTACATGTGTGTATGGTATATGTGTGTGTGCACATGTCTGTGGGTGCATGTGTGTATGGTATATGTGTGTGTGCACATGTCCGTGGGCGCATGCCCAATGTGCTCATGTGCAGAGGCCTGAGGAGGATGTTAAGTGCCCTGCTCTGTCACTCTGCCTTACTGCCTTCACACAGGGTCTCTCACTGAACCTGGAGCTCTCTGGATTTCGTTCTTTTAGCACACCTGTCTGGACAGCAAGCCCCAGGAGCCCTCCTGTCTGCCTCCCCTGCCAACTGGAGGTCCAATGAGGCACCCCATGCCCATCTTCTGTGGGTTCTGGGGATCAGATCTCAGGCCCCCATGCTTTCACAGAAGCTCTTAACTGAACTGGCTCCCCAGTCCCCACAAATGCCTAATTTCTGATGGATTATCAAATTCTTTCAACCCCGAACACGGGATAAAGCTTCTAACACTTCATAGTAATCCCCGGCTTTGCTGCCACAGTTTATCTTCTCTCACTATGGCCTTGCCAAGGGGGCACATATTCTATTCAGCCTAGCGCTCCAAGTAACTCCTTAAGAAGGAAGAGGTAAGGGGAGGAGAAAGGGAGAGGTTAGGGAGGGAGGGAAGGAGAGGAGGAGGGGTGAGGGAGGGAGAGGGAGAGGAGAGAAGGAAGGGCTGAAGGACAGAAGGATGGAAAACAACAGCAAACCCATAAGTCACCCGAATAAAGCTGGGGCTACCTCTCTGAGGGAAGATTGCCTGTGCTCTGGAGACAAGAAAGCCCAGCAGTTACCTGATGAACACACAGAGATGCTCAGAGTTTCACCAAAATGCACAGACAAGAGGATCTGACCTCACACAGACCCGCTCTTGGCACAATGGTTTCTCAGAGCTCCAGTACTGGGACCTTGAGCCCTGCCCCGCTGACAATGGCAGCCACACAGTTCTTTACTGTGAGATACTGTACTGGTCTCTGCCCACCACAGGCCAGCAGCACTGCTCCTACCCCCAGCGACAGAAATAAAATGGTGTCTAGACCTAACAAGGTGTCCGCGGTGGTAAAGCTGCCCCTCTGCGTCCTGCTGAGGACAATTTCCCCTCCAGCATCTAGATTCTTGCCAGGGTTAATTCACGTCCTAAGGAAGCAAAGAACTTTTTGAGCTGACTTCCAGATGGGATGCTAAAATGGTGCAGAGGTAGGATGGTGAATACCCAAATGGACAAAGAAAGCAACACCAGATTCAAAGTCTCCAGTTAGAATAAAAAATAAGTTCCAACAGGATGCTCTGGAATATGACCAGTCCTGAAAACAGTCACTGTCACAGAAAAACCAGAAAGTCTGATAAGCTTTCACAGCCCAAAGTCAACACAGCCCAAAGAGGCAACTAAATGTAGTATGCCATCCTGGATGGCCAGAAAAGGGATGTTAGGTACAGAAAAAAGAAAGGAAGGAGAAGGGAAGGGAAGGGGGGAGGGGAGGGGAGAGGAGGGGAGGAGAGGCAAGGGAAGGGAAGGGAAGGCGAGGGAAGGACTCAGAATGGAAAAATAGAAGTAGGTTTTATAGAAACTACAGGTTTCTCTGTACATTCAAAACTGACCTGAAAATGTTTTGTTTTGTTTTGTTTTTAAATTTTTCAATTACAATGGAACGAAAAGACTGGGAAAGAATGCATTAAAACAAAGCTTAAAGCCACAGCCCTTGCCTGGCAGACATCTAAAGTGATTGTACCTGTTTGGATTAATGAAAGGATCAAGTGACCAGAAATAAAATTCTTTTATCAGAATCAGGAAGTAGGAAAGTAAAACTGCTTTATCCTGGGAGGGTAATGGGGGGGGGGGTAGTAGAGGGAGGGTCTCCTGCATCCCCAGTCAGTCCATTCTACTCTGCTGTCTGTGGCTATCACTTACCCTCCCCTCCACCAGAATCCACATCCATGGCTGGTCTAGCTCAGCACCGGCAGGCAGGTGAACAGAGAGATAATGGACCCCACAGCCCAGATTCACACACCTTACCACCAGCTGCTGGGTACTTAACACATGCTCACTGAGAACTGTAGAGAAGTTGAGTCCCAAAGGAGGCAAACTTAAAAGCCCCTGAGTTTTCAGGGGTGACATGGGAATTATCTGTGAATTGCTATGGGCACAGAGAGGGGACCCGCACATGTGTACCTGAAGTAACTACACACCTGTAACACTGAAGACACTATTTAGCTTGTGGCTTTATTTTACAAAGAGAAACTGGAGCTGAGAGATTAGGTAACTTGTTCAAGGCCTTAAGCAGGAGACCAGGTGCAGGATGGGAAGTGAGGGGTGCTGAGTTATTTTCTCCACCCCCTATGGTGGCCACTATCTGCTGAGCATCCAAAAAGAGGAGAAGCAAAGGCTGGGAGGCAGGAGAAAGGAACACACTTGCGAGGAATAGTGGTCCCCACCGGGCAGGGTAATGAAGGAGAGCACTGACTTACAAGGCCAGCCTGGGCTAAACAGCCCATCTCAAAGAATTTGCCTGGCCTAAAGAAGTTGACCTAAATAATCTTGTCTATTTCTTCTATCGTCTTTAAGATCTGTAAATTCTAACCTCTTCAAAGCAAATCTTCTTTCTACCACACAAAACAGCTTCGAACCCCAACTCTTGGCGAAGGAAAACCAAAATAAGCCCCTCTTCCATACAAGTCTACGTGGCTGACAGTCCCGCATGTGCTGTGGAAATCATTACAAGTGCGTTTTGTTTCTCTTGAACTGACCTCTGCAAACGGATCTGTAAAACCTCCAAACTGTACCCTCATCAACACACACACCCGTGCCATGCTCCCCAACCGCCCCCCCACGAAAGAATCAATATTAAATCCCGGTGTCCTCATAAAGCTTCGGTGTCCATAGCTCACTCACTGCCCGTTTACTCCAGCTGGGAAGATGCACAAAGCAACAGACAGGACAATGGATTCCCGACCCTGGCTCAAAACCAGTCTCTGGCCAGGCCCCTCCTGGCACTGGAGTCTCGCCTTTGCCATCTACATAATGGACGCGGTCCCCTCCCCCGAATGCTATGGGAGATTCAGGGACAGTATCAGTGCCTGACGCTAGTAATAATCGGGTTCCTCTCTCCATTTCTCCCGGCTTCCACGCGGGGCCAAGCTTATTCCCTTCGCTTGAGCACAAGTACTCCTCTCCCCCTCGCGGAGGGCCGTGGATAACCAGACCCGCGCCCCCACTTCGAACAGAACATTCCACCCTGCTCCATCCTGCCTGCACAAAGGACAGCGGCTCAGCCGCCTGCACCGGAGCCGGTCTGGGAGAGCGCGGCAGCTGACTGGGCAGCCTCCGCCATGCCCAGGGTGGATGGCAGCACCTAACGGCGTCTGGGGGAACGTCTCCCCTCGCGGCGGCCCAGAGCGCTTCCCTTCCCAGGCACACTCCGGGCTCAACCATCAGTCCCCAGCTATGAAACAGCTTCGGCGGCAGGGGAAGGGGAAGCCAGGGTTGCGAAGTTTGGGGCTCGCCTGCCCCGCGGGAGCCACGCGGCAGAGGCCGGGGCGCGCACTCACCGTCCGTGCTCCTCTTCGCCTCGTGGTAGCGCGCCCACAGGTAGCGCTTCATGTCCACGGCGGCCGGGGCGCTGCACAGGCGCCGAGCGCTGCCGGCTCCCGGCCGTCCGCGAACCGCAGCCCCGCCGCCGCCGCGCAGCCCCGCCGCCGCCGCCGCCGCCGCCGCCCTCGCCCCGGCCCCGCGGGCCGCCGCGGCCGCTGTGGCCATGCCGCCTCCGAGCTGCCCGGGGCGCGGACGGTCAGCGCCGGGAGCCTCCGGGACGCGAGCCCCGCGGTTCCTGCGTCTGAGCCAGCGGTGGCGCGGCCGCCGAGCCAGCCTCTGGGGGCGGGGCCAGTCTCCGGGGGCGGGGCCAGCATCTGGGGGCGGGGCCCTGGCGGGGCCCTGGCGAGGCGGGGCGGAGCTGGCAGGCGAGGTCAGGGTCTGGGCCCGCAGCGGCAGTGTGGGCGGGGCCGGGGCGGGGCACGGGGCGGGGCGGGGGCGGGGCGGGGCTGAGAGGCGAGGTCAGGGTCTGGGCCCGCAGCGTCGGGGTGGGCGGGGCCGGGGCGGGGAAGGGGCGGGGCGGGGGCCGGGCGGGGCGGAGCTGGCAGGCGAGGTCAGGGTCTGGGCCCGCAGCTGCGGGGTGGGCGGGGCCGGGGCGGGGAAGGGGCGGGGCCCGGGGCGGGGCGGGCCTGGCTGGACTGTCAGGACCCAGGGCTGTAGGCACTGCGCGGGACGGTCGGGGACCCGGCCTGGGGAGATGGGGTGGGAGCCGGGATCGGAAGACGTCTGGGCGGGTCGGAGGCCTGGGAAAACGGGTTGATGAGAGGCGGAGTCAGGGGCGAAGCCCCGGAGAAACGAGGCGGGGCGGAGCCTTTGGCGCCAGGGCTCTGTGCCCGGGCTGCTGCTGTCGCTTCCTGACCCCGCGAGGCGTGGGGGCGGCGGGCCAGTGGTACTTGAGGCCACATGGAGCAGGCGGCTCGTCTCCACCCTGTCGCCGCCCGCAGGACTCCGCGCTACCTTCCTCTTGCCTTCCCTGGCGCCCTGGTCCCGGCCTCCGGAAGGTGACCTCACTCCGTGGCTTCTGCAGGCTTCTCCCGGATCGCAGGTGCCTGTCTGAGACGGTCCTGGAGCCCGTCCAAATCTGTCCTCTAAAGGGTCCCACATAAGATCCCGCCTGCAAGATTCTAGTAAGTTTAAAGACACTTAGTTTCCTTTTCTGGAAAGCTGGATTCCCGCCTCGGGGGGTCCTCTGGACTCACAGCACGCTCCTGCTCAGCTCGCCCGCCCGTGTAACTAACTGCATTTGTTCCAAGCCTCGTAGCTCCACTAATGGCCAATAAACACCGGCCGCCCCACCAGGCGCCATTTCTGTGTGCCCTGAGTCAGACTTGGCTCCTGCAGGGCAGGGCTGACAGTCATCCGCCCCAGACCTACCTGAAAAGCGCTGGGTCCCAAGGAATTTCCAAACTACTCCATGGTGACCCCTGAGTAGGAGGTAAATTACAGAGAATGGCCGGCTCGTGGGAAATAGGTGAGGCACAATAGCGACTCTAATTGTGGGCTGGAAGAATTTGACACCTAAATTAGTTCCTGACTGATCATAAAAACCATCAGTGGAAGGCTTCCAGTGTTTATTTTGCTTTTGTGTGTGTTTCTTTTTGGTTTTTCTCTGTATTGCTTTGGAGACTGTCCTGGAACTCGCTCAGTAGACCAGGTTGGCCTCGAACTCACAGAGATCCGCCTGCCTCTGCCTCCCGAGTGTTGGGACTAAAGGCATGCGCCACCAATGCCAGGCTTTCCAGTGTGTTTTTATCTCATACGATTTTATCAGCTATCTTGAAAGGTAAGCACGTGTCTGTCATTTATACATAACAAAACTGAGACACAACGTAGGTAAAACTGCTTACCTAAAGTCACACAGCCAAGACCCCTCTTCTGTGAGTTTCCTAAGAATAATTTTGTTGGGTGGGAAGGATGAGGGTAGCTAAAAAATGATCCTTAACTATTACAGGTTAATGTTTTACAAGTCACTGATAAAGTGGAGGGTAATAAAATGTTCAAATAGACACCGTATCAAATACCATGTGCTCTGACACAGTTTACTTTATGACTTGAGAGCATTTCAATTCTTATTTTTAATGTATTAATAAAAAGTGTTGGTGATAATAATCATCAATTTTGTTTAGATGAAAAATTTTAATTCAAAATATATAAATAGAAATGTAAAAGTAAACTTGAAATGGGTAAGATTGCACACATATGTGTGTGTGTGTGTGTGTGTGTGTGTATATGTATATATGTATATATATATATATATATATATATATATGGAATCAAAACTGTTCTACTTTCCACAGTAATTTGGATCACTTAAAACCTGCTCTTTTTAAGTAAAATCAGACACAACGTTATAAGGGACTAAGGAAAGTGAATCCCCAGACTTGGATAATGACCCCTCTGAAGTGTTTAAAAGAAAACATCCAATTAAAAATCCAAAGTAGAGGCTAGGGAGATAGCTTAATCTGAGAAGAGCTTGCTGTGTGTGTACCAGGACCTGAGTTAGTGCTCCAGCACCACCATGAAGACCCAAGTGTGACGGCCTGTGCAGGTGACCTCATCACAGGCAAAGTGGAGACGAGGGCCGGGTGCTCACAGACCAGCCAGTCTAGTAGAATCTGTGAGCTTATGTCAAAAAAATAAGGGAGAAAGTGGTTGAGGAAGACACAGATGTTGACCTCTGACATCCACACAAACATATACACACAAGTACCACAAACACACATGTAAAACTTCAAAAAGAAGCGTGAAAAACTTAAGTACAAAAGAGCCCAGAATGACTTTTATTCTTTATCTGTGTCATTTGAGGTCTTCAGCCATTTTGTTTCTACTTGAGGTCTTCTTAGGAAAGCAGGCTTCTGAGGGCTGAAGCTGTACCCAGAGCTGTGAAATAGCCATTTTTCTGATACAAGGTCAGATATGGACTCCCAGGGATTATGTGCACTAAGAGGCGCTCGCAGGGGCTGACGGTAAATTGCAGAGATTAGGCCATCTCCACACTCACATTTAGCAGATAAAACCCTTTGCTTTGAAAGTCTGACTAAGCCTTTCTTTTCGCCCAGAGATAACATCTTTTTCCTTGGAATTTGCTTCCTTGGCCCACCCCATATTTGAGCACTTTGTGCCTTAGGTTGGGTCTTTTCCCCAGCAGACAGGCACAGAATCGGAGTTAGGGTCTTCTTTCCTTTGCCAGGAGCACATTTTGGTTTATCTGAAACCGGAGAAGGTACCAGCTCTGTGCTTTTAGCTCTCTGCAACTTACTTACATTCATACACATTGCAGTGTTCACGGTGTCGGAGCTCTGAGCGCTTCGGAAGTTTAACTTAGACAAGTTTTCCCATAATAAAGAGCCGTTCCTAGAACCTTCAGAGTATAGCTGGCTCATGCCTTGAGGCCAACACCTCCTGCCCCGGAAACTCTGGATTTCCCTTAGAAGTCTGCAAAAGAGCAAAATACATCATGTGGCTGTGCAGTAACAGACCATCAGATAGGCTACTTCTTTTTGAGACATGCAACAGAAACTCACTGCAGGATTCCCTGGAGTGAAGCATGGGAAGACCCCAGGTGAGTTGCCCTTAAATCAAGTGACCTATACAAATAGCCGACTGCCTCCATCATGGCGTGATGGCAGAAGTCACCTGACAACAGCTGGCCTGCTGGGTAGATGGAGGGGGAAAGGAATATTAGAATTTTTAATTACCAACTTTATACATTTAAAAGAGGCTAAAGAGCATTTATAAAGGTGGCATTGAAACACAGTCTGTCACAATACCCTGCCAAAAACATTTTGACCATGTCTTGCATGAAGAAGCAGTGTTAGTATTCAGGCGTCTGTACTGGCCTGCCCATGGGGTTCAAACAGGATACGCCCTCAGCTGCAGCTCTAAGAGCATCTCCTGTGCCTAGTCACTATGTTCCCTTTTAAAAGGGCCCTGCCCACCTCCCATCATCTTTCTCTTTTTCTTTCTCTCCCTCAGTCTGTTCTCTCTCTCTCTCTCTCTCTCTCTCTCTCTCTCTCTCTCTCTCCTCTTCTCTCTCTCCCCTCCTCTCCTCTTCTCTCCTCTCTCTGATGCTCCTGTCTCTGGAGGCCAGTCTCCCTCCTTTCCTTTCCCCTATTTGTGATCCTTTTCTCCTAATTTAAAAAAAAAACCTTCACTTGAACTCAGTTGCATGGTGTCTGTCTCTCTTAAATGCTTTTCTTAAATTACAACAAACAGATACAAATGAGAATACACTGGGCCCAGGAAGAAGGGGCAGATCGCTGGGCAGTGGTGGTGCACACCTTTAATCCAGCACTTGGGAGGCAGAGCTAGGTGGCTCTCAGTGACTCTGAAGCCAGCCTGATTTACAAAAGTGAGTTCCAGGACAGACAGGACTGTTAAACAGAGAAACCCTGCCTCAAAAACGAAACAGAACAAACAAACAAAAAAGGGGGGGGGGGAGGCAGAAGCTGACTTACACTCTTTAGAAATGATGCTGTAAGAGGAGAGACAGACAGAAAAAAGGAGAAAGGACCAGGTCAATGCCTTAAGTTACAGAGACAGTAAATGCAACTCGAGTCCCTCAGGAGAGTCTGGAGAAGAGCTCGGTGTAGAGTGCCTGCCCAGCCTGCACCAGGCCCTGCATTCCACTCAACACACGCCTTCAAAGCCTGCCCCTGACTGTTACGCTGGGCCCTTCACTCCGCACTTCTACTTGCAATCATTGCTCTACTTCCTAAGTCATGCTGCCTGCAGCTTTTTCGATAAGTTTTTGGAGGTTGTCTGCTTAGCCATCAGCACTATGTCCTCGCTTCTGAATTCTTCCATGATTCCCTCTGACGTTTCCAGCTGCCCTATCAAAATCAGTACCATGCCCATTTGACTTGCACGGTTGTGATAGCTGAGTTCCAGAGAGTTGGGGGGGGGGGGAGATGGAGAAACGCAGAACATCCCATGGAACTGGGAAGGCAGAACACACTGGAAGAGATGCTCTAGCCACCACCTCCTGCAGTCATTATTGGTTCTCCAGGAAGCTCTTTGGTTAGTGATACAGACCTAACGCTCACAGGAACAGCTTCACGGCCCTCTGCCCAGGCTTCTTCCACGCCAATGCCTGACCTGCAGGGCCCTCCCTCTGTGACCCGGGGCAGATCCATAGCTATGGTTCTGACCTCAGTGTCCTTTGACACAACCGGATCAGGCACCCTTGCCTTGGCCTAGACCCAGACATTTCTCTGGAGCTGGTACCAGCTCTGGGTTAGCTTGCTCAATCCTCTTGACCATCTCAGTAAGTGTGAATTACTAAGGGATTTTTGGACCTTTTTCCCACAGCCAACTTTTGCTCTGGATGGAGAGAGCCTAACACTTAGATGCTTGTTTCTGTTGGTTGTTTTATCTCACTAAATCCTTAGAATAATCCTATAGGCAGACATTATTATCCCCTTCCAGATAATAAGAAAATTGAGGCAGTGATATCCACAAACCCAGAAAATAGTGCAGCTGGAATTCTCAGTCCCCATGATCCCAGATATAACCCTGCAAAAAAGAAAGAGAACACTATTCTCTGTGTTGCACATAATTCCTTAGGGGATTCAAAATAACCATCATCAGGCTGGAGAGAGATGGCTCAGTGGACAAAGACGCTTGCTACCAAGCTTGATGACCTGAGTTTGGTCCCCAAGACCAAGATGGTGGAGGGACAGAACTGACTTTTGCATGCGGTGATATATTGCTTAGGATTTATTAAAGTTCGCTGAGGATTCAGAAAGCAAGGTCACTGTTCAGTATGAGGCATTCATTCTCCAGCCGTGCAGAGGAGAGGTCACGGTCTGAGCTTTGGTGAGAGCTTGTCACCGGCTCAGGAGACAGGATCAGCCCTGTCAGCCTGCGGGAGAGGTGAGAGCTAGTCGCCGGCTACTTTGCTTCCCCGATCTTCAGCTTGAACCCCAATATCAGTCTCTGGGTCTTTTATGTATCCGTGTTACCCCTGCAAGTTGTCTTCTGACCGCCACAGACATATCACATGTGCACAACCACTCACTATTTTTTTTTCTTGGTTTTTCGAGACAAGGCTTCTCTAGCTTTGAAGCCTGTCCTAGAACTAGCTCTGTAGCCCAGGCTGGCCT